CCGTCCTGGACCGAAATATCCTCCGCTAATTGGGTCAGGCGTTGGGGAAGGCGGAAATGCCGGTAGCCCGCTTCCGCAGCCTTAATATAGCGGTCCACAGACCGACCATCAGCCAGTGTCAACCGACCTGGTTGGAAGGAAGGGGAGGTCACCGGTGGGGCCCCCAGAGTCCCTTTCAGGTCAATGTCAATCCAGAGTCCCCTGTGGTCCGACTTAAAATACTGCTGAAAGTCCAAGTATCCACCTGCAGTTACACGGACGCCGTCGGTCACAAATATACCATTGATGGGAGTATCCGTCGTCCGACTTTGGGTTGTCGCTGGGTAAGGGCCCTGATGTCGGCGTAAGATGGCCTCGGTCAGGCCTTCTGACCGCATCTCTTGGCGGAAGGAAGAGGGAGAGTTGTAGGAGACATATTCGTTTGCATCTAACCCAAGGAGAATCTCACACTCTTCCGCTTTCCATTGTTTGATCAGGTCCACCAAATTCAGTGTGAGCTTGTCACGGGGGTCCATAGTCACCCCCTTGCTCAGCCAGTAATTCCGTTGGTAGTTCCAAACACTACCAGCATTGGTACCTTCCTTGTTCGGATGATATGCCGAGACCACCACAAGATCTAAAGGACCAGCCGGGGGCCCATCAGTCTGAGACTCCTGTTGTCGGATGTCCCTACCCCGGATCTTGATCCAAGAGAACCTGCCTAGCCCTGTTTCATCTTTGCCGCCTGACTTTGCACGGCGCGCGACCTTGTTGAGTAATGTAGCAGAACATCCGCCCCATTGATGCGCCAAGGGAGTTGGAAACTCCTGGTGTTCGTAGTAAGACACTGAAGAGAAATGTCCCTGGTTAGTGAAGGACTTGACCGATCAAACCACTTGTGTCCTCTGGGCACTGCTGACCATTGAAGGTTAACTTCAGCCAGCAATGCAATGCCCACTCTCTCATCCGTCCAACACTTGAAGAGCCCTTTCTGTTTCTCATGTGTCATGGGAAATGGAAGACCCTGCATTTTGAAAAAGGACCCGGGTAACGCAAGGAGACTTCTGGCGTGAGTCATCGCCAAAGTAGTTACAGAGAGGGAGAGAGTTTAAATAAGCATCTAGCGAGGAGTGGGCCACCTGGCTGGATGTGTGTTGATTGCGTAGATTTCGACCTCGGCCTTCCGTCAAACTCCGCAACCTTGCGTGACGGGACCGTTGGTGGTTAGGGACCACCGCCGGGGGGGGCCACCCCCACTGTCAGCCGATGATGTTGCCTTGCTGGAGGAGGGGCTTGACGAACGGTGCTTGCCTGTAACCGATGCTTGTTCCGCCATTTTGGCCTCCAATTCAAGGATACGAGCATCCTTGGCAGCCTCCGCATCCTTAGCTTGAGCCAGTTCTTCCGCCGCAGTCTCTAATTCCGTGCAAAGGTCATTGACATCCGCTTTCATGTTCTCCAATAATGCTGCCATATTTGCCGCGCTGTCTACTGTAGCCCCGTCATCCATATCCTTGGCAGCTGGCATCGACAGGTCAATCGTGATGGTGCCCTCAAATTCTGGAGAAGCCTGCTCTGCCGCAAGGAGCTTCTCAATCCACTCATTATCATCCTTTTCCACTTGCTGGTCCAAATCGACGTCCCGCTCATACTCCAAGATTGCAAGATGTTGGCTTTGGTCCCAGGTCATAGCGTTGGTAACCGTTCGAATATAGTGATCCAAGCAGAGCCAGGTGCGGCATGTCTTCCTCTGGTGCTTCAGGTCCTGCCATAACTCAAGGTGAGAAATCAGGAAGGCCGTCAGGTTCTTGAGAACTTCCTGTGCCAATGAGGCAAACTTTTGGCGCACCACGAACACATAGAAGCCATCAATTGGGCCTGGTAGGATCATTTGGAAGAGACCGGCTGGGCCCTGGTTCAGTTCCGCATCCATTGCCGCCAGCCATGCGCTGCGATCAAATGCCTCAGTGACCAGGGGCTGCTCAGATGCAGAAAGTTTTGCCCGAGCGGAAGACTCCGTAGGAGGGTTGGTTGCTGACTGGGGTGTAGACTTCAGTGCAGGAGTAGGCCGTGGAAGAGGGGTGGGGGGAGTAGCCTGAGGCGTCTCTGTAGGTTTCTCAAGAGGTTGCTTGGCCCGGCGATTCTTAGACCCCTTGCGACTGGAACGCTTGGTGGATGGGGCGGGTAGAGTTGGCTGAGCTAGGGTGGGGGCAGTTACACTTGGGTTGATCGGTGTCGGTTCTGGAGGAGTAGAAGACACGGAAGGTGGCAATGGAGAGTCTGGAGTATCGGCATCCTGTGTGGCTGATTGTTCAGGCTGAGCAGGTGGAGGTTTTTTGACCGCTGGTATGCACTGAATCGCGTAGAGGAATTGGAGGAGGGATTTGCCCTTGCCCTGTTTGCAGTACTTGGGAATGAAGACCTTGGGCAGCATGCCTTGGATAGGAAACAGTGGAGCCAGGGAGGTGCAGGTCTGGGAGGTAGTGTCATGGGTGTTGATGAGTTTCCCAATGATGCCATTCCACTGCCCCCCTGGTTGCGCAAGGTCACCTAGGTGACCCTTCGTAATGGCCCCCCAGTCGTAGACAAACTGAGTCCGGGCACCAAACGGCATGTGACACTTCTTTGTTTCTGGCCTGAGCCATGCAAAGAGGGCCCGTGCCACTCTATCCACGTCAGAAGCAGCTACCCAAATGTGCCACGCTTTTGGACCCTTGGAGGGCATCCATTTTTGGCCCGCCGTACCGGGGTTCTGTGGCCACGCAGGTTCTAGGGCTATAGCTCTCTTGAAGGTGAAGTGACGCATGAGCTCGCGTTCAAGTGCCGCTCTCCCAATCCCCATGGGGTAGTTCAGTAGCCAACCGATTCGGACAGGATCACTAACTTGCAGCGGGGAGCGGAAGACGCCTGCATGCGTGCCGGTGATCTCGAAACATTGACCCAGTAGTCGGGACATGTCGTCCAGAGAAGAATTGTGAGCGACGCGAATGCGGGTGCGAAGAGTCTTGGAGCCGGGGTTCTTAGCGTTGTAGCCAAATCGGGCGCCATTATTCCAGGACCAGTCAATGTAGGGCTTGAGCTTCTTGTAGGTGAGCTCCTCCACTTTCTCCTTAGAGGTCAGCCACAACTTCTTGTCCCGTACACGGAGTTCGCTCACCGGAAGAATGACCAAGTCGCCCTCAGCGTTGTCCATAGCCATAGACAGAACCGAGACCATTTCTTCAGTGAAACACTTTTCAATAGACTCAGATGTGTCGCCATCCCATTCATAGTTGATTGTAGCGCAGAGGAACTGGGCGTTCGAGCGAGGAAGCCCAGTCAAATTCATCTGTGTCACTTCTCGGGCTTTCATTTCTTCAGAGAGGTACTTGGTCCGAATAGCAGCCTTCTTCTGTGAGGCGGCAACATAAGTGAGTTGCTTCTTCACGGACAGAGGAGCTGGAGGTCGAGGAATGTTGGGAGGCTCAGTCTTCGACAAGTGAGAGTCGATCAATACTGTTGCCTAGGGGTCGTTGGCCCACTGATCTGGGGCAGGTGACTTCCCCACAACCACTTCAGTAGGAGGTTGGTCCGAATTCGATGGTGCAGAAAAGTCTGGAGCCGACTCAACGGACTCCGACCCATCGTTGTCGGACCAATAAGCAAACTCGCCGTTGACTGGTTTATTGGTGGGGCTAATTACCGATGGACCTGTTGTGTCCATCACCACCGAATCATCCTTATCGGGGGCAACAGAGTCGCGAACTGGTTTTGGAGTAGCATCCGGAAAGAACCCTCGCGCAGGAGAGCGACGGTCAATTGGAGCTGATTTTCGTTCTGTTGATGGGTCCAGATCGTGCTCACGTTTTCGGCCCTTGGCTGCTGAGCGACGCTCAGCCAATTCCGTTACTACCGTCGTCGTGGCGGGGTCGGTCCACGGGTGGCCTAGAAGTTCAACTGCAATGGCCCACACTTTAGCCAGAGGACGGAGTTCCAGTAGTAAACGAGGCTCGACCTCCAAAGTAAAATCCCAATACCGATTGAAAAACGTAGTTTCCTCCATCGGGTCGTCCAAAGGAAAAATCACCAGAGGATCTTGTACCGCCAGCCCAAGAATCAGTCCTCGGACATAGACAACGAGCTCCCGATCGTTTCCAATAAATTCGTCCTTGATGTCTCGGTCAAGCGCAGCTCGAATGCGTTGCTCGACCAAGTTCCAGTCCCCATCACAAATCTGTAGTAGCTTCTTGGCTGCTTCCTCCCAGGATTCAGTCGCCGGAGCATCTACAAAATTTTCAGAATACCCTTCGCACCAAGGCCAGTGGAAATCGGGCTCGTTCTCCCATGCCAAGAACAGATCGTTTCCAAAGACCACTTCTTTTTTTATTGTTGCGTTGACCACGAGCACGGTGGATTGTGCATAAATAGGCAAGGGTTTGCAGGTTCCACTGAGACAAATCAATGTTCTGGACAATGCGATCGTACTTCAGTGGATTCTCGACCTCCTCCATCTTGGTGTCGCTGTTGTTGTTGACGATTGGAGGGTCCAAATCGTTGGATTCCCTTTTTGATCGAATTTCGGCGGTTTCGACTCGGCTTTTTTGCGAAAAACTGATGCGACCCTGAGTAAGAGCAGTAGAATTAACAGGTTTAGCAGCGATTGCCACTTTCTTGTTGTTCTTCAACTTTCCCATTGTCAGTTTTGATGCAAAAAGGAGGAGCGAGTTTCGTTTC